GGGGGGGGGGGGGGGCAATGAAAGGGGTGGTAAGTGACAAAATTAAAAGTATTTAATTCAATTTTAGTTTAGCTAGGCTATTCTATTTTATGGCTTCAGTGCTTTCAGCTTGGGTTTCATTTGTCTTTTGAATTCATTGATAATTGTTTAGCTTCTTGATAGAATTTTTCTAAATATTTATTTGTTATCATCTGATAAGAGACTGAAACAGTGCATTTATATGGGCAGTTCCCTTTCCTTTCCCCTGAATAGAAATTATCTCCTGTTTTCTTCTTTTTTTTTTTTGTATACAATTCATTTTTCTCACTTTTACCTTTCTGTGCAATGCCCTGCATGTGATATAGCTGCCATGCTTTTCAGCACACCCATGTTAGTTCTCAAATCCAGGTTCTGTGTATTTCAAAGTGGTGTTTCTCAGTTAAAATAACCTAACTAACCTCTTGATGATTAGCTCTCTCTCAAGCTTCTTTTGTGATTTATGGTGAAGCATTTGAGAGACTGTGGATTGTTTTTTGTGGTTTGTTTGCAGGTTCAAATTCCTTGGGCATGGATGCAGGGCATTTTTTTAGGGTATGGATAGACATAATACTTGAACTGTTCCAAGAATGCAACTGTTTTGGGAACTAGTTCACAATTATTCCTGGGCAGCAGTGTTTGCATGAACATTTCCAAGGGTTGTAAGTAGAACCTCACCCTTCAGTAACTGCACTGTTGATGAAGTGTTGCTGAGTGCCCAGACCATCATGCTTTTCAGGGAGGAAAGGAGAAGATGCTAGGTGCTAGGGAGCTGTATGGCCCCCCTGCTTGTAATTCACGGGATACTGTGTGCTCTGCCTCCCCCACCCCCCAAGAAGTCTGTAGCTTTTTCACCCCTGCCTTAAAAGTCATGCTGTCAATTTGCTCTCCATGATAGAGACCCAGGCTCATTTGGGATGAGGGAGAGGCAAGACACTCAGTACCCATGCAGTCCACCTCCCCCAAAGGAGCCTGGCTCCCTAGAGCACAGGGTCTCAAGCAAGAAGGTGAAATTGGCACCGCTTTCAAGGTATGAAAAGCTGCAGAGATATGGGTGGAGGGAAGGTGCAACAGTTAGCTGCCTCTCGTCCTCCCCCAAGGAACCACACAATCTGGCTGGGGCAGAGTCAGAGAGGGGGAAGTGGTACAGTTGCACTCTCATTTTGGACGACTCAGTGGAAGCAACAGTAAACAAAGCAGAAAAGAATCTCTTCCCTACCCTTTCCCTTTCTCCTCACCACCCCAGCCACTGATTGTGGGAAGGCTCCGGAACTGCTCTTGCCCTGTTCCAGTTGGGGACAGCAGTGTTGGCAGGTGTGTTCCTTCATTTCCCGCCCCCCGTGTTTGCTTCAAAGCTGACAGGGAATACCTGCGGAGACCAGGAACAGAAGAGGTTCCTGCATGCCATCATCACAGCCGCTATTCCTGGCTGGAGCAGGGCAGAAAGCTCTGGAGCTCCCCTCTTTTTCCTTACCACTCTCTGCCCCACAGCTGGGGATAGCAGCTGCAGCAGGGAAAGGGGTGGGGATGAGTTGGAGGCGATGTGTTGCTGAGAGAGGAGGTGAAGGGAGCAGATTCTGAAATGTTTCACGAAGTTTAAGCCAGTCTCAAGTGGCATGCACAAGTCAACTTGGGGTTTACAGTGGTCTAAGCATTGTGTCTGCCCACACCCTGAGTATTTGTTGTCAGTTGAGGAGTTTGCTCCCCCAGGGTGTATCCAGGTGTGCGTGAATGTTTGGTTCCCCAGGGACAGGTAGCAGCGGAGCACCTTGTGCTGCAGCTACTTGTCCCTGGGGAAAGCCTCTGGATGCAGCAGGTTGCTCTGGGTGAGGTGGGGAAGGCTGGGGCTAGCACTATGCTGGCCCCAGCAGCCTTACCTGGGGTCCTGGGGGCCTCCCCGGACTGCAGCTGCAGTGATTCTACTGTAGAGCTTGGCTGGCAGTGGCAGCTCAATTCCAGGCAGCCTGACTCTGCTTTTCAACAGTGTTTGCTGCCCGAGCACGCGCTGTGCCACTTTTTTCGACCCCTGGACATCCAGGGTTTAAAAAAAAAAAAAAAAAAACTGGCACAGCATGCCCTTGCAGAGCGGAGAACACGGGACTGTGCAGTGTGTGGCACAGCAAACATGTTTGCAGTGCCACATGTCACAGGACCATGCTTGTCTGGATGCACCCTCTGTGTTTCCCTTAGTGGTTTAATTGGATGGTAAAACACATTGCCAGTCTTATGTTTTTCATACGGTTTTTGGGCTTTTTGCTTTTGTTTTTTCTAATTGCGCCATCAGCCAAGTGGTGTACATGTCCTATGGTGAGTAGAGTCACATGTGTCAACTCAGTTGAATGTTTAGAATTTTGGTACTGAATACTGTAATTTGCATGGTGGGTTTTTACATAAATAGGTATTTTGGTTTTCTTGTATCTAACACATCTCCATTTATTAAATATAAATGAAGGAACAGTAATATGAGAGCAATTTGACTTCTGGCATTGCAATAGTATACTTTATGATCAAGAGATCATCCTGAAGTCATTTATACTGTACAAATCCTAACTATGAAATTGCACAGTTGCTGAAAATAGCTCTGCCTACTGAAAACTGTTTACTTAAACTAACTGAAAACTAGTTTTATCAAGTTTAAGAATTATATCAGGTTGTCACAGCTGACAAACGGCATAGGCACTGAAACTCTGTGACCAGTGGTGCTTAATGATTTGGCCACAAAGGCCAGAATAAGTGACTTGGGGTCAGTCTGCAGGCTGGATCCCACATTGGGTTGGCACGCAGGGTGGGACTGCAGGTGTGATCTTGCACGTGGTCTGACCCTGCACACTGGATCCAGCTGCAGAATGACCCTGTGCACTGGCCACAGCACATGCCTGTGTGATCTAGTGTGCAAGTCACGTCACTTGACCTGTGAGGCTCCTTCTGGGTCTGGAAATTTGGTAGCAGGCGAGCATCACTAAATGTTGCCACTGCTCCCTTGCAGCCAAATTTGTAGACCCATGTGCTGGATGACATGGCTTTGTGGGCTGCCCAGAGATTGAGCACCGCTACTCTAGGCTGGAGAAGGCAGAACTGCATCAGTTACATTGTTGGCAGTTAGGTTATCTTTACAATCAAAAGGGCTAAAAACTATTTTGCAGAAGATGAGGCTTGCCCAAGATACGCCAGTTGTTTGAGGCAATTGGATTTTCTCGTTCTGCCAGGCAGGACTGTGAACATAATACAGCGTTGGAAGTTACATTTTCTGGTTTGAATAATGTACGTTGTAAGGGTACATTCGTTAGGGAAATCTTGATGGAGCAGCTCTGTTCTAGGGATGGTGGCAGCGAGGAGCTGTGTTGTGCCTTCACAATGACTGCAGGGTATAAAGTATTTGGTATTGTTAAGAGAACATTATAGCTGTGTACTTGGTAAAGTGGCCAGAATTTTTTTTGTCTGATTGCTAATATTACTATGGAAAAAGTCTGCAAATGAATACTTGCGCTTTCTTTTCTGGGGTTGGGGAACACATAATAGCACCATTCACTTTGGTTGGAGAATCTTCCTGTTTGCTACATTCGTTTACCCAATCTTAAACTTGTGTCTACAATACTCCTTAATACAGTAATGTTTGGCAAGTTGTATATTTTTCATAGTGCAGCAGAAAGCCAAGTAGTTTATGGTATTTTATTTCATTTTTCCCTTTTGTGGTAATATAGCTTCCAACTTGAGAGTCAATCACCAGCTGTAACTAGAAAGCTTTAAATTTGCAAAGCATTAGTTAGTTTCATAGTAGAAAGTGTTTCTTAGCATCTAAACTCTTCTAGTTGGCTTCCTGAGGGAAGGTCTTGATCCTGCAAAATGCTAAGCAGTCTAGTAAAGCATTAAAGCTTGTGCTTAAAGTTTAAGCACGTTTGGTCCCATTCACTTCAGTGCAGTTACTCCTGTCATAGCATTTTTAAACACCTGCTTTGTTGGATGGGCCCAGACTGTTCAGTGCTTTTCAGGCTCATGCCTTTACAGGGTTGGCGTTACTGGTAAGTGTCTACTTTTTATCTAAAAAGTTGCCTAAGTCTTGTATTTTGAGTTGCTTTAAATAGTCTGTCAGCTAGTGTTGTAAAAAGAGTGACCATGTTGCTTAATCTTAATTCAGTTCTGTTGACTGTAGGGTAACCATGGGTCAGACCGGAAAGAAATCTGAGAAGGGACCAATTTGTTGGCGAAAGCGTGTGAAATCAGAATACATGCGGTTGAGGCAGCTCAAGAGGTTTCGTCGAGCAGATGAAGTAAAGGTACATCACCTTTTTAGCTCCTTCATGAAGTTTTATACTTTAGGTGTTAAAATGGCTTTTTTTTTTTAGTATATATTAGAACTCAAATCTTGTATGAGTAAAGTTGTCTTGGGGCCATCTATCTACTTAATTTTTGGAAAACCACTTTTTTTAAAAGAAGAGCTATGAATACCTTTTCAATATATCAGTAAATGTGAGCCACTAATATTAATTGCATATTAATTTATTGTTTTATTGTTATTATTGTAACCATTATTGTTTTATAGGTAGGCATTTGCATACATCTATTTATGCATATATATAAGTAAAACATGTAATTTATCCAGGAAGATGATAAATGCATTCACTTGTGCAAGGATTTTTTTCCCCTAGCATACTTTAGGAGAATTGATTCTGGGGAAATTGGCTATCACCAAATAAGCATATTCCTTTTCTATACAACAATAACTGTGTGAAACCCATAGGTCTCCAAACAGGTAGAAATTAAAAGGATTGGATGATGTCTGGTTCAGTACCTTTGTTAGGCAAACATTCAGGTGCTTTAGCATATATGGTTATTTTCTTGTATTGTCTCACTTGTGTTTTGATTTTTTTTTTTATGGCTAAGGGGCAGGGAAAGAAGAAATGACTTTGTGCTCCTTTGTATTTCATTTCATTTAAAAAGAAAATGACCACCTGGATTTTTCTTAGATATTATTAATATTAAAGTCAAATTGCAGTGGATAACAAGCATGAGAGAATTACATTCTGAGAATAGAAATACTAGATGATAAAGCTAGAGCTGTACAGCTGTATATGCTTTATATAGTGGTGTAACTATAATCTGCAGGAGTTAAATGAAATAAAACCAAAATGAAATAAGTGACATTAGGGGCCCTAGGTCATATGCACAGATCTCAAGGGTATTTTGTGACTTAATAATTTTGCAAATGTGTGTGAAAACTGTAAAATAATATATATTTTTTTTATTTATGGTCCTACATTATTTGAGAAGGGGACACAGAGATGAGATAAACAGGATTTCTTAGACAAATAAATATTCCATTCAGAAGTACAGGCTTTTCAGAATACTTGGTAGAAGCGATGAAAATCCAAAGCTAATACTTTAATAAAATTTGTGTTTTCAGTTTTATTTTATTTAAAGAAGGCAGTGCATATTTTCATGATGCTGCTCAAGTTCAGTTCATTGGCAAAGATGAGTACTATGTCACTGAAATAGATTTAATGGCTCTTCAGGTGGTTATTAGATGAATTCAGATGCCTTACTTAGTTCATTTGTAATTTTTTAAAAATGTTCTTTTATTCTTAGAGTATGTTTAATTCTAATCGTCAGAAGATACTGGAAAGAACAGAGATCTTAAATCAAGAATGGAAGCAGCGTAGGATACAGCCTGTACACATCATGACTTCTGTGAGCTCATTGCGCGGGACCAGGGAGGTTGGTTAACATGATGTGTTGTGGTAATTCTAGTTATGAGGTTGTCAGCACATTGTAGTTTTACCGGTGAAAAGTTAGCTGCTAACTTTCACTGTGACCATGTGAAGCTAACTTTCTTTTCTCCTATGAAACGTTTGGAAACAACTTTTCTAAAAAGTATTTCATACTGACTCCTATCAGATGATTACTGGGAAGGAATCAATAAAATGCAGCTTGGTTTGGCTTCTAAAATGTATATAAATCAAGACAATTTTTTGCTGCCGTATATGAGATTTTTATATAATACATGAACATCTTTTAATCAAAGCTTCTTGTCTCAGCCACTTAGATCTTTATCCAGCTCTCACTGAATAAAGAATGTGCATGAAAGTAGTGAACAGATCCACTTTGTTTTGAATTCATTTATGTTAGAAAAGCTTTACTGATTTTCTCTAAAGGCAGTTGAAATGGATGTGATTAAACTGATGCAAGCTCATAATGCTGGCTTAAATAGATAAGACACAGAGGTAGGTGCTGCAGTGTAGCATGGAGATACACTAGTTAATGTGGTTACTAGTAATAGTCAAGGCATGGTAACGCAGAGATCAGCAAAGCTGATTTATTTTTCTCAGCTACAGTGTAGATATTGCCCTCAAACTCGTTTAATTTGCATAAATAGTTTTAACTTTTTAATGTTTAATGTCTCATGAGAGAACTTTCTATAGTCATGAATTAGATAAGGTTTTTCCATAAGCGTGAAAGCAAATTAAATCACAGATGTTCTGCAGGGGATATTTTTATTTAAGGGTCTGGAAGAACTGCAGAGAACTGAAAGATTTTGAAGGGGAGCTTTACACAAAAGTGGTACCTACTGGCCACTGGAAATATATGAAGTACTTATTTTTATCCTAAAAATGTATCCTGTAAAACATGCAGTTCTTCGTCCAAACTAGATGTTTGGAGCTCATAAATAATGGAAAGAATTCATGTTGCTTATCTTATTTTTTTTTTTTTTTTGTGACTATATAGTCGGTTCATCTCTTTTTAGCATGTCTTCACTTTCCTCTATGAAAGTAGGTCTGTAGTCAGAAATGAAAAACATGACTGGCTTCAATCCTCTGATACTGTGGATATAGCCATAGATCCCCACTGAAGTCAGTAGGGCTCTGTGCTTGACCACTGGTCACATGCTTGGTATTGTAGAATTAGAGCTTTGACAACTCTTAGCAGTAGCTGTATCTGCTTTCCAGGGTCATGTGCTTCACAATAGCCCCTTCTTAGTTGGAAAAAAGGCCAAATTTCACTGTAAGAATTACAGCGTGAATATATCAGATTTTGATTTACTAGCTTGATTTGCCTTCCTGTTTCAAGGGGATAATTTTTATGTTAATTTTATATCTGACTTGATGGAGTGCATTCATTATTGCATTTTAATCTAGTTTGTGTCTCATAAAGGACTCGGAAGAACACTAATTTCAATGTTTGATTTTTAAATTGCCATAATTTGTAATGGGAGAATTAAGCCAGGGAAATGGTGTCTATAAGGCTGTATCTGAATCCTTTCTAAAGTAAATTTAAAAATATTTTTAGCTTCAAATACAACATTGGCTAGATACTTTTATCATCATTTTATGATAGTGAAGCATTTATTGAAGGTTGTAAGTCTTATATGATGCTTCCCTTTTTCTGAGTAGCTCCACAGACGTCAGATGAAAAAGGGAGTTCAGTTTTTGAATTTTTTCAGTATTGTTAATCAAATCTCAGGCTTTCTAATAATGTCTTGGCCCTGTACGGCAATCAGCAAAGTCCAGAAGCATAGCAAGTACTGTGACCAGTGTCTGTCCATGTCTTGAACCCCTTCGGTGATGGGAGCATCCGCAGCTTCGTGAGGCGGTCTATTCCAACAGCAAAGAAGTTTTTCCTGATATCTAATCTAAACCTACTTTGCTGCAGCTTCAAGCCATCAATCTGTGTCCTGCTCTCTGTGGCAAGAGAGAAATGGTGTTTTTCCTGCTCTTTCTAGGAACTCTTCAAGTAATTTAAAGACTGCTATCATGTCCCCTCTTAAGTGCCTTTTCTGCAAGTGAAACATGTCTATCTTTTAAGCCTTTCCTTTTTTCATTTGCCTTCGTAGAATCGTAGACAATTAGGGTTGGAAGAGACTTCCAGGAGGCCACCTAGCCCAGTGGTTCTTAACCTTTTTTTGTGCCAGGACCCATTTGTAATCATTTATGTTCAGTCCTGACCCAGTGCCCCTCACTCCTTACTTGCTGCTCCCTGTCCCTAGGGTCCAGCCCCCCCCTCCCCCCTCCCTTCCCAGTGTGTGGGTTGGGGGAGTGTAAGCTATGGGGAGCCCCAAGCAGCTCCTTGCAGGCTGGAAATGCCAGCCTGAGAGGGGGAAAAAGATCAGTTTCCCATGTTTTTTTCCTTTAAAGGAGAATCCATTTTTTAAAGTTTGATCCATTTCTAAAGTTTGTTTGTAACCCTTTCATATATTCTTGCAACCCACTTTTGGGTCACTGCCCATGAGTTGAGAAATGCTGACCTAGTCCAACCCCCTGGTCAAAGCAGGACCATCCCCAGCTAGATCATCCCAGCCAAGACTTTGTCTACCTGGGTATTGAAAACCTTCAAGGATGGAGATTCCACAACCTCTCTGGGTAACCTGTTTCATTGTTTTACTGTCCTACTAAGAGATTTTTTTCCTAATATCTAACCTGAGCTTCCCTTGCTGCAACTTGAGACTATTGTTCCTCATTCTGTCATCTTCCACAACTGAGAACAGTTTAGCTCCATCCTCTTTGGAATAACCTTTCAAGTAGTTGAAGGCTGCTATTAAATCCCCCCTCAGTCTTCTCTTCTCTAAACTAAGTAAGCTGAGACAATGGAAAAATGAGCAGGTCACCAAGGAAATAGCAAGAACATGTAGGGACAAAAAAATTAGGAAGGGAAAGATAAAGAATGAGCTTCTCCTGGCAAAGAAGGTTAAAGACAACAAGAGGTTCTATAAATATGTTAGTCCCCAAGAAACTTGTCATCTTTACTGTTGGTCATCTTGAGTTGTACACTCGTGTCTTGCAGTTTCCTCTTTGGTTAGATCCCAATAGAAGCAGCGTTGGTAGCACAGGAAAAAGTCTCTGCTTTCAGTTGTGGTCCCTGATATAGCAGCACTTAGCAGTGTGAAAGTGCAACTGAAGACAGAATATGGCTTAGTCCCACTGTATCTGAGGGAGCTTGTTCAGTTCAAATGATCTTCAGAGAATTTAGCTGCCAAAATCTAAGAAGCCTATATTGAACATGTGAAAACTGATTTTTTTTTTTTTTTCCCCCCCCAAAAGCAAGTTAGACAAATGTAGGTGTGTGTGCGTGCGTTAGAAACATTCACCACATACCCTGATACAAGGAACTCCTCACTTTCTTCTACCTGCTGGCCACAGGAATGAAGGTGACCAAATTTTTCAGTGAAATTGGTTTCTTAATCTGGGCAGAACAACATGTCTCCAAGATCTAAATGAAAGAAACAACTAATTGCAGAATTTACTGAGCTAAAGAGATTTATCAGAGCCTTCTGTGCACTTAATCATTGCAAATAACACATTATAGAAGCCATTCGCCAAATTCTGCAAACAATTCCTGTCTCCTCTTCTTATTTCTGTTGCTGCCCTGTAAATATTGATGCACTTTTCCAAAGGCAGATTTACTTAATTGTGATATCTATATTTTATACAGTGAATTCTTTTGAATTTCGTCAAAATTTTACTAGAAGAGAAATTTAACTTCTGTCTCTTGTTTCAGTGCTCTGTTACCAGCGACTTAGATTTTCCAAAACAAGTCATCCCACTCAAGACTTTGAATGCTGTTGCTTCAGTGCCTATAATGTATTCTTGGTCTCCCCTTCAGCAAAATTTTATGGTAAGTTTTAAAAATGGAAGTAGTTTATATTTTAAGCAACGAATGGCAGTTACAGTGGAAACCAGTCACCTGGTATATATTTCATAGACTTTAGGGCTGGAAAGGACCTCAGAAGATCA